GCCTTTCGGAATTATTGCCATTTTCCCTTGTCACTATGCGAACAACGGTAGATAACGATTAGACGCACGACCCTCGAGAGGGCAAGCCGATGCGGTGACTAATCCCGAGTACCTGCATCGACACGAATCGGTCCCCGAATCGCCGGGCACTTCGAGAGAAACTCGGAATCGCCCGGCCGACGAAAATCGATGAGAAACGGGGACTGGGGTGGACCATGACGGGGGATGCGAACCCGGAAAAAAGCCGACAAACCCGGAAAGCTCAAGCCATTGCAACAGGGATCCCCATCGATATCCGAGTATAAATGGAACGCGTGACGGGAGGGGGGGCACCAATTAAGGAACAGTATCTCTAAGTAGAACAGTAGAACAGTATCAGAATCTCCCGGATCGATTCGATACCGGGCGGAACAGGAAGATTGTCTTTTCCACGCGCGATGGTCTTTTTTCCGCATGCGATAGCCTCTTTGGGTTCTGTGAACCTTTTTTTTTCCCCCGAAGTCGGGCGAGATCTCACGGTTGCGTGGAAAGGCGATAAGCGGACCTGGCTGATCCTCGAGGTCTGTCCCATAGACCAGTCGTAGACCCGGCATGGACCCATCATAGACCGCGAGAAAAAAACGTATCGATTCTTGCAAGAGGCGCGACTCGGAGCTCCATCGATTCCGATGAGGCATTTCACCGGAGTCCGGTGCGAGGGGTAGAGCCCGGAAAGGCTCACGACGGGACCTTTTTTTTTATCGCAATATTTATGCAGAATAAAAAGACCTAATATCCTCAAACGATAAGCGGATCGCATCCATAGAAACGACGTCGACACGAGACACGATCTCGTGGGATCACGAGGGCTGGACCCCACGTTCCGTTCGACAATAATAAATAATAATAAATCATTAAAATTTTACATGAATAAAAAAAATTCCTACGGAAAATATGACAATAAATAGTACAGCCTTCCAGGAAAAGCAGGACCGGAAAGGCTCAAGGGTGAATTCCAATTTAATACGATGCGACGGCATGGGCTTGCGCAATGAAATTCATCCAGTGTGTGGGTGCCGGTGCGACGAAGGAGAGAAAAAAAAAAAAGGCTGCATACAAATCGGCCCTGTAATCGTGACTCGATCACCGATTTCAAAATGAGTTCGGTCGAACTTGAACTCCCCGGGCCCGCTTTGCAGTCGGACCGGACCGTGAAGTCCATAGCGACACTGGTGTGACTTTGGGGCCGACGGTTCCCGAGGGAACGATGGAATTGTTGGTCGACGGAATCGGACGGACGTTATTAACGAGACTGGGGCGGAGGGTGGAAGAAGGAAATTCCCACCACTTTTCAGGCTCTGGATCGTTCGCCCTCCGCTCTTTAAATTGTGGATGTCTGCCGATCTCCACTCTTATGGCTCTGGATGGATGGATGTCTTTCGACCTCCGCTCCCTTTCCCATTCGCATGGCCACTGGGCCCAGTTGCACGTCCTTTCGAGCATTCCGTTTCTTGGCCGACTCTCACTCGGGTTCTGAAGCGGTCGCGACGACACCGAAGTTCCACTCTCGAACCGACCGAAGTCCTTTTTGAAAGCCGATGCCTGCTGGAATCGGTCAGCGCTCGATCAGCATGATCCTCGCGAATTCTTCTCCGGCCCGAGGAGATGGAAGGACGGTAGGGAGGGAAGCATGACCGAGTGGATGGAAGAATGACGGAGTGGAATCCCACCGACCGTAGTGCCGGGGAGAACGCCGCCTTCTCTCTTCTCTTGCAAGGCGTAGAAGGAGTGCGACTTCCGTCCCTCTGAGTCAGCAGAGACGATCTTCGCCATCTTCCCACTCCGTTTTGGCTTGGCAAAATCCACGCCGAAATTTGCTAGGAAAGCCGATCTCTCTTACATTTCCAAATGGATTTCCAGGACGTAAACGAAGTATCCTTGGACACTCTTTCGTCACCATCCACGTGGGAAACGTCCACCCCAGAAATCCTGAGCGTTCACTTTCACATTTTCAAGACATGCACGTCCATCGTAGAGTACTCCAGCGTGGGTCGACGGGCGTCCTCCCTCCTTTCCCTGCCACCACCTCCCTTCCAAGCATCGCCTTCCCTCCTTGCCACCACCTCCCTTCCAAGCAACGCCTTCCCTCCTTGCCACCACCTCCCTTCCAAGCAACGCCTTCCCTCCTTGCCACCACCTCCCTTCCAAGCAACGCCTTCCCTCCTTGCCACCACCTCCCTTCCAAGCAATGCCTTCCCTCCTTGCCACTTCTGCTATCAATCCCCTTTCTCCAATGAATTCAGCACAGAACAAGCATGTCCATCGCCGGACACCCCCGACCGAGTCCCCTGGTCACCTTACATGGAAATTATTCAAAGGACTCCAATGAAATTACAAAAAATTTGGTTTTTCGAACTTCAGATCGAAAGGGTTTACGTACCTAAGACTAATATTTCTCGACCGCCAGTCCGCAAGCAAATTAAAGGCTTTTATTTAAGCAACGGCATTTTATTTTTACAGAAAATAATGGTGACTTTCAAGCCAGGAAATTATTAAATGATATTTTTACAAGGTGGGGGGGGGGGGGGGGGGGGGGGGGGGGGATACCACTTTTGTCTTCGTGAGAGGCCTGGCAATTATGCATGGCGGCGATGCTGCATCGTGTGCGAAGGAATTTCGGTTGGGGGGGGAGAGGGTTCGATCCGTGACGGCATGGTGCGAAGCAACGAATCACACTAAATAGTTCCATAGCGAATGCGATCGATGGTGTGAAGGCATATCTCCGACGGTGGAACAACGGAGAAGTTTTACGCAATCTTCTGTTCATTTATTACTTAGAATGCAGCCATACCGTTGCCTGTAGCAACGTGCCCCTGTCGTTGGGGCCACCGTTGCGATAGAGGTGTCGTCGGTCGCGTGGGTGGACGGGACGGCGTGGGCGTCGCCGACCGAGAACTGCCGCTGCTGGAAGCTCTCCGATGGGGAAGGAGTCGGCTCCGACGGGGAAGGAGTCGGATCCTACTGGCGCCGACTTCTCGGCCGGTCACCCGTTTCCGTGAGACGTGGACGTCGCCGGGCGCGAAGCGTCCATGCCGCCCGTGGTGGACGCTCGTCGCCATCGGTCTGCTGCATTTCCGTGTCGGTGCTCTGGGTCGTCGAACCCCGCCGAACGTCGAAACGGATGCCACGGCGCTGCTTCGTGTCCAACGACACCTCCAACGGTTTGGCACTGCTCCATCCCCGACGACACCTCCATCACAAAGGCAGCCTCAAGACAGGTCCGACAGAGGCACGCGCCGACCGCGATCGGTCCGGCACGGAGCGCTGCCGCGACGCAAGCGAATCTCCATGGTATAGCGCACCGTACAGATAACTACCACGTTGCTATAGGCAGCGGCATACCTGGATCGTTATGAACCTCGTGTACGTTCCCTTCAGGATTTTCAACGAGTTTTTACCCATGACTTCCCCCACCCAACCGAAATTCCTTCGCACACGATGCAGCATCGCCGCCATGCATAATTGCCAGGCCTCTCACGAAGACAAAAGTGGTAAATGGAAAAAAAAAAAAAATAAATGCTTGAAGCACTCCAAGCCGCTGATAAACCCGATAAAAGCGCGGCCAAAAATGCGCCAAAGTGGACAAAACTAGAAAGAATTTTAATTTCGTTCGTCTTCTTAACACATTGGTGACGGGCCCCGAGAAATCTCGTAGTACGCTCGCGAGCGGTTGGTGACCGGTCACCAACCAACCACCAACCAACGTACTACGAGATTTCTCGGGGCCCGTCACCAATGTGTAATAACGCAGATAACGCAGCGTCGGGCATGCAGCGACACCTAAACAAACAATTAATTGATGTTCGTGTCAGTTTTGCATCCTTGAACACAGATGCATCGATTAATCCGTGAGACAAACAACACGAATTTACCGGGGAGGAACCCCTCAGTTTAAATACCTGCAATTTTTTCTTCCGTTTCCGAATCGACCACGACGGCGCATGATTTTTTTTCCACAACTCACTTACCTCTCCCGGGGCCGCAAGCGGCCCGTGGGTCGCGGCATAGCCCCACTCTTCTGCTTTTCGGACTTTCTCATCGAAACCTCAAACAAACAAACAAAAAAAAGAATCGGGTTGGATCCGCGGGACGGCGCGCTTCGCCGTCTTCCGTCGCGCAACATTAACCCCGATCATCTCGGCGATGAACCTCAAATCCCCATTCGTCGCCGTGGACGGGGCGACGCAAACCTCAAAGCAACCCCATAGAAAACCCGGAGGGGGGGGGGGGGGGGG